GAACTCTTATTTGTCCACATAAAACCAAAAGAATAGTTTTTAGCTAATTTTACTTTAATTGTTTACGGATGCAGATAAATATTACTTACTTTAGGAGCCTTACCAAGAAAACTAACTTAAAGTGCATGTAAACCCCACCAATGTACTTCTTTTATTTTCCCTCCTCTGGTCTTTAAAACATACTATAGTAAGAGTTTTAAATATATCTGTGCAATAAGTGTAAAAAAAACCACTTGATCCTACCAGAAATCCATTGAGTCAGTTTGTGTTTAAGCTACACATAGTGCTTAATGGGGTAACCAGAGGGTGTTTGTAACGACCGAATTGGACAGTGCAGTGCAAAATCAAGAAGAGAAATCAGGAGGTCACTAGCAATTCAATACACTTTGTTTGATCGTCAGTAATTGAATTCCAGTGAGGTTGTACCTTCCTGTGCACTCTACATTTGCTGCACTGAATTCCAAGCAGTGTTGTCAGCCCTGATCAAGTTTCCACGCTGCACTATAGAACACCTTCCCCATGTTATGGGAAGTGATCTGTTGTCCAAAATCAGGAGAAGCAGCATAACCCACTGCTCTTCCATAGATACAAAACAGCGAGTGTTTACCGTCACCCTAGGACAGGAAGTGTGTTACTGCCAGAATAACAAAGGTGAAAATAAAGGAAAAAAAGCCAAAGAAAAGAAAAAACTAATGCAGCCACTACTGGTACGCTGCAAAATATTGAAATTGTGTTTACATTAAGATAAATAACTTTAATAAAAACACAAGTACCTGAAAATAAGCCGTCCTGTTGTCATGCAAACCCAGATCTGCATCATCAATACTTTAGAACCCAGTGAGAGCAGATGTATACAACCATCATCTTCAAGCCTGTCATTACTTAAACCATCTGGTCCAATGGCCTTATCAGCTTCTGTAAAACAAGAAATTTAGAAAGTAAATCAAAAACTACTCCGTAAAAAAAAAAGAAAAAATAAATCATCATCAACTCTCAATATGCAATATATTTTATAGGTGTAAAGTATAAATACAGTTGCTGTTAAAAAAAAACAACAAAAAAAACCCTAAGCTTGAATATTTAAAAAAAGAAAACGCTAGAAAATGCATGGCTAAGCTTCCTCTGAATTTGCACAGACCATCACAAATTAACTTAGTAGGCATGAACATAAAAGGATACAAAAAAAAAAAAGCCTGCATCCTCCTCTTTCGTCCTCTTGTTAACTCTGCTCTCCTTTCTCTTCAGCTTTCCTTCCGAACTTGTTCTTCATTGAAAATTGATCTGCGTCTTACTACACATAGCCGATACAGGTATAGAAACTTGCTTGTTCATTACGAATGACCCCCAATATTTGCACTATTTCTACTCAGGGGCTTTATATTAAGGGTTGTTTGTTATACTGTTTCCACATATGTTCCTCCTGGATATGCACTAGGTAACCGGTCACTTTATGACTGTATTTTGTATATACCTTCATTATTGAATGAAGATATAAAATATAAATAAAAATAAAAAAAAGACAGACATTCATTGGTGGAATGAAAATTTAAACCTCTTGCAGACTGTAAAGTTATTCTGTAAAGCTAATTAAGCTACCAAGTATACAATGAATAGTCAGACACCTTGGTGGATGATTCGGTTATAACAGTAACTGGTCATATCAGCAAATTACCAGTCCATTTTATAACAATCGCAATACAAAATGTGGGATAGAAGAAAATTGCAATACACAATATGTCCCACTTTTCAATGTATAGTCGGGGGAATAAAAGCAGAGGCAGAGCCTTTAGTTGTACTTTAAGTGTAATAAAATTTTATATATATCTGCATTGCAATGCATCGTGAAAAGATCCATTGTACAGCATTTTTTGGAAGCACTGCTCTTTCAAAATGGAATTAAAAAATATTGCCACACACTTTACAGTGTGAATGAACCCTAATCCAGGGATTAGAGACACAGTGGACAGTAAGAGTGAGGAGAGGCAATTAGGGGGGTGGAGCCTGCTCAAGATGGCGCTGGGCTGTGAGTAGCTGAAGCACCTACGAGCTCCCCCTAGGCCGTGTGAATAGGAGCCCACATCAACAAAGAAAAGAACCGACCTGATCCTGCAGTTGAGCCGGGAACCAGAGCCTACGCCAACGCGATGGGGGGTAAGAGAACCCAGAAGAAGAATGTGTCTACGAAAGCTCCCCGAGTGGGAGCGATCAGGTGCCTCAGGGCACCGGAACCAGCGATACAGGGACGCGGTGGAAGGGAAGGAGGAGAGGTTGCACAGCTGACGAAGCGCCGTATCCGGAACGCTGCAGAGATCGGACAGCAGGGGACACGGACGGACGAGTCAGCTCACCGGCGTTCTCTGGGACCTCAGAAGACTCCCAACAAGGTACCGCAATATCGCTACACACACACTAGCACAATCCCCACCCACAAAGGGAGATCTCACAAATTTACTGGGGCACATGGAAGCTTCAATTAAAGCAGATTTGACCACAATTAGAACTGAGATGTCCCAAGTATTAAAGAGGGTAGAGGAGACGGAAGAAAGGCTACATGTGCATACTAAGGCTATACAGGAGCTGCAGGATCAGTGCAGGAGTATGGAGAATGCTATGGGAATGGTATCATATAAAACCGAAGACCAGGAAAACAGAAACAGACGGAATAACTTGAGACTCAGGAGTATTCCTGAAACCATAGAAGATCGGGAGTTAACAGATATACTCAGAGAGACTTTTAATGACATACTTAAACACCCAAAAGTAACGGAAATAATCTTCGATAGAATACACAGAGTACGGCGTCCCACAGTAAGCGGAGGAGAGAATCCAAGGGATGTAATTGTGCGGTTCCATTATTATATGGATAAAGCCCAAATTATGGAAAGCCTGAAAAACGCAACAGAGATGGTGATTAGCGGGGTCAAAATCCAGACATATGTGGATTTGGCACCGGAGACACTGGCACGCAGGAGGGCTCTCAAACCTCCGACACAGATCTTAATTGGTCAACAAATTGCATACAGATGGGGGTTCCCAGCCTGTCTCATTTCAACGAGAGATAGCATAACAGCAACCCTACGGTTTCCAGAAGAACTATCGGAGTTCTGTAATAAAGTGGACATTACTCCCCCCAGAATTGCCAGGGTGGCTAGAACCTGTATTGAAACCGAGGACAGAGTTAGACCAACAGTGGCAAAAACCTAGGCAAAAAAGAGGGGGCCTTAGGAGAGAGACTAATTGCATGTAGGAGGATCACCGAAGGGGCATATGTGGAAGACTGTACTGTTTATGTAGATTCTGAGTACTATCTATAGTATACTGTAAGGGGCATAGGGTCCCTGAAAATGTGTTTATCTGGTCCCTGGAGTTTTCTATGGCATATATGTGGGAGAAATGTAAGGCATATTAATTTAATGTATTCTTCCTAGC